TAATCCTGGTTTAGTCTATGGGATGACGGAATGTGTAAGGTTTAAGTAATGCTAGGAGATCTCACGTCTGAAAGGTCTTACTCCATAGAGTGTCGTCGGTCTCCAAATACCTCTGCCCGGTCTATTCCCTGGTCGCTTTTCGGACGAAGCGCTCTCTAGCATGACAGGCATCCTTCCTCCCGGCGTGGAAGCACGTATCGTCCGAGAAGATGGCAGCGATGCAGATTTTGACGAGGTCGGAGAACTGTATCTCCGTGGGGGGAACGTTACTTTAGGTTATTGGGGGAACCAGGAAGCGACGAAGGAGACTTTCTTGCCGGACAGTTGGTTGCGCACCGGAGACCGGTTTACTGTGGACAGGAACGGCGCATTCTTGTGAGTATCTGCGAGTTACGAGCTCCGACTGTCGCTAATGCACCATCGATACAGTTATGTTGATAGGCTGAAAGTGAGCCTGACTTCCACACTGTCCCTACTCCAAGCTTATGTTTATCTAACTTCGTCTCTAGGACACGCTGAAGATTTCTGGAGTCCAAGTATCGCCCTTAGAGATCGAAGAAACCCTTCTTCGTCACCCAGACAAGCTGATAGCCGATGCGACGGTCGCAGGTGTTCCCGGAGAACGCTTCTCCGACGAGAAAGTGCCGCGGGCTTGGGTCGTGCTGTCCGACGCGGGACGGCGCCGCGGCACCGCGGCAGTCATCGCTGCTCTGCACGAATGGAGCCACACGCAGATGCCCCGCCATAAGGCACTTCGGGGAGGCATCGAGGTTATCGACCAGGTGCGCCTAGTTTGCCCGTGGCTTTCAAATCTTGCTATGCTAATGAGGGGACAGATTCCGAAGTCGCCTTCGGGAAAAGTCTTGCGTCGCGTGTTGCAGGAAAAGTACGAGAAAGACTCAAAGGCTTCGCCCCACGTACCTGCCAAATTGTGACATGTCGTTCCACCCGATCGCACATTACAACTGTCAGGCCTTTTTGACGAATTCAACCTTACGCGAATTGTGCCCTCATATGGACTGATCGTTGTGCTCAATTCCGAACAGACGGGGTCCATGACTTTCGGTATGCTGTTGCTGTCCTGCTTCGCGCTAGAAGTGTTTCAGCGGTGTCGGGACCGCAGTCATGCCAAGACAAGCACCAGTCTGATAGACTTTTGCACCGATTGTTAGCCGAGAACTCAATATCGTCGAGGACTCTGCTACAGTAAAGCAAGTTGATCAACGAAATGTAACCTATGCTGACCCTCATTGACCGACGCTTCAACGTTGACAGTCACGGTGGCCGACGGTGTTTACTCAGCCTGACGGTCTCGCACGGTCTACTCGCTTTCACTCACGCCTTATCGACAGCGTTCTGAGAAGATGGAACCCTGGCTGTCAACGTCATCTTTAGCGCGTAACAATGCGTGCAGGTCCCTATTCCGAGCCCGCACAACCCGTCGATTGAAGCTTCTGTATCCCCAAATACAGCGTCCGAGTCGGTACGAATGGCCGAGACCAACTACTCGTGACCGAGGTACATTAACACCGACTGGCAGTATGACTTCCTCTTCAGAACAGCATGCCGTATATATATCCCAGGCATCTCATCATGCTCCCTTTCCCTCGAATTAGTGTCCCGATAACACTAGGCGCACCATGCCTCATCTCAAGTCCCTCTATCCGCCGATACCACCAATCGTGATTCCCAACTACTACGAATGGCTCGTCAACCTCGACCATGTCAAAAATTCACCTGACATCACCCTATACATTGACGGGGTGACTGGCGAGAGGCGACGCCTTCGAGAAGTATTGGACCGTGTCGATGTCTGCGCTACTGGCTTATCGGCGTCCTCGTCAGAAGGGGGAATAGGCCTCACCGAGAAACCCGAAGAAATAGTCGGAATTTTCAGTGAGAATGTGATGGTGAGTGCCACGGAACGAAGTCCTGCGACGACCCGCTGACTTGCCGTTGAAGGAATTTCCTACCCTCGTTTTCTCGCTCTTGAAGATAGCAGTGCCGTTCTCTCTCCTCCCGGCCTATTCGACGGTTTCTGAGCTCGCCGCCCTTCTGGAGCTATCTGACGTCACACGCTTGTTTATCAGCCCGGCCATGCAGGCCACCGCCCTGAGAGCTGCCGCGCAGACAGGGTTCCCGCACGACAGGATATATGCACTGCAGGGCCAAGTTCGAGGCTTCAAAAGCCTGAGCGACATCATAGATGATGCGCGCGCTCGAGGCTCGTTCAGGGTACCGACGCGGGCCATTGACGAAAATCAACTGGCCTACATGGCGTTCTCGAGCGGGACGACTGGTTTCCCCAAAGGTAAGCGCAGATCAATGGTATGGTGTCCTTTTGATAGTTGAGTGCTGAGCACCGGCCGGATAAGCCGTCATGGTCTCGCACAGGAATATGTATTACTCCTCCATGCAAGTACTCGTTGTCGGCGCGGAAGCTGCCAAAGCTGGTAAGGTCAGTACAAAAAGGTCTCGTACAAAGATTCAACTTGACTCCATTGCGACGCGCAGGTTCCGTCCCTGGCGCACACACCAGAAGGGGTTCATACCGGTTTGGCGTTGATGCCATTCTACCATGCCGCTGCCTTGCATCTGTCCATACTTCGTAGTCCCTTGGTGCCGCCTACGACTACCGTAATCCTCCCCAGATGGAATGTAGATCAAGCATTCGAAGCAATCGAAAGGTCACAATTCTCTTTTTTTTTCTATTATTTTCGCTTATAGTGCCTTCTCTCAAGATATCGCGTAACGAGTCTGGTCTTGGCACCGTCTATGACTCAACAGATGATATTATCTCCTAAATTTCAGACCACAGATCTCAGTAGCGTGATGGGTTTTGTTACGGGAACAGCACATCTCGCCCTTGAACATCGAAAGACCGTTGTGGAGCGGATGCCACAACTAAACCTGACGAGTAGTAAGCTATCAAAACTCGAAGGTTCTACGTCGCAGCTGCTGATTGTGTATTAGCTTACGGGCTCACCGAATGCGTAAGGACTTTCATTCCGTCATCTCTCTAGCAGAACGAAGGTTAAGCGTCGAACAGGTAGTCAGCGCTCTCCAGCGGCCGACGCCGGGACTCTTCGCCGGTCGGTTCAGCGACGAAGTGCTCTCTACAATGACTGGGATCCTATTGCCTGGAATGGAGGCCAGGATAGTGCGCGATGACGGCAGTGAGGCAGACTACGACGAGCCCGGCGAGCTGCTCCTCCGCGGATGCAACGTTGTGTTAGGTTACAGGAAAAATGAGAAAGCTTCTGCTGAGACCTTCCTTGGAGACAACTGGCTCCGCACCGGTGATCGCTTCACCATCAATAAAGACGGTGCATTTTTGTGAGTCTCTTTCCAACTCGACATCGATGCCGTGGCTCATTTGTCTGTGTCAGTTATGTGGACAGGATGAAGGTACCAGTCAACCATATATCATATTGCACAACAAAAAATTAATGCCTCTCAATTCCTAGGACACGTTGAAAGTCTCTGGCGTTCAAGTTTCACCTTCGGAGATCGAACATGTGCTCTTGCAGCAACCCGACAAGCTGATTGTCGACGTGACGGTCGCAGGTGTGCCGGGCGATCGCTTCTCGGACGAAAAGGTTCCCCGTGCATGGATTGTCCTTTCGGACGAAGGCCAACGACGTGGGGGCCCGTCAGTCATTGCCGCCTTGAACGAGTGGATGGGGTCGCAGATGGCGAAACACAAAGCCCTTCGAGGAGGCATAGAGATTGTAGCGCAGGTTCGTCGCAATAAAGCTTTACCTGTGGATTTGACTGACCTAGGCGACAGCTTCCGAAGTCGCCGATAGGGAAAGTGTTACGTCGCGCGCTCCAGGACGACTACACTCAGACTTTGCGGAAAATCCCTGACACGCGAGGAAAACTATAAACTTCTCATGTCTGTCTCGGGGCCTGAAAGGAACCCCTTGTAAGGAAGAATTCTGGTAAAATAGTAAAAAGCGCTGTAACTGAAATGACAGAGTGCCGCCTCCTTCGCACCATTGTTGCTGAGTCGATGCACACCATCTGGCGCCTCCGCTGTGAGCGCGTAATAGGGGGACGGCGCCACAGCAAGAAAGCCATCGCCACCAGATGGCGCCGCGAACTAACCGACCGACTCACCACTGAACGAATTGTAGCTACCACCATCCGCAGACAACCCGCCGACCAACGCCTCATGAAATCCACTTGGAACGACATCCTGCTGGACCCCCCCGCCAATTGGCATAAGAACATAGAGGTTTTAGTGGGTATAAAGCCTCCCCGAAACCCAGGTTAATGAGGTTCTCGCGGAGGGCATTGAGTCCCACACTACCCAGCACGCGCTGGGTGTGCGTAACGCATTTTTCCTTGGTCGCCTACTTGTAGGTGCTTCAGGTTTACGCAGACTGCAGTTACGGTCGTAGATATAGTATTAACCCCACCGTACCTACGATACTCGTGATATAGTTGACGCGTAATCAAAGCCTTTCCAAAAAAAAAAAAAAAAGAAAGAAAAAAAAAAAAGAAATGACAGAGTGTCGACAACCCTTAGACTGTTTACATTCAGGTTATGCTTGTTGCTAGAGCCATACGGTTGTTTTGGCCTTTATGAACGGGATCTGCCACACTGATATCTACGTCAAACAAATTTACCAAGATGCACAAATGCAGAAAAACATCCTTCGAACCGGGGTCGAACCAGTGACCTTGAGATACAATGTTATCCATTACAGTCTCACGCTCTTCCAACTGAGCTATCGAAGGCATATATGTGCCTGATGTTAATGTTACCATGGCGAGATGGCACGGTATGCTCTTAGACCGTGCCATGCAAGTTCCAATAGCACATATATATGCAATGCAATGTTTCAAAGCTGCTCGACCCACCTCTAAACCCTTCACAGACCCCAAAAATGATAGTTGCTCTGTCTATTATCCCGCCAACAACCTCCTCACCCGCCCACCGCCAGTCGGCTCGTGGCTGGCAAGGTTCAAAGATAGAGACTTGCCGCCCAAATTCCTTCGAGCCGGGATCGAACCAGCGGCCTTGAGATACAATGTTATCCATTACAGTCTCACGCTCTTCCAGCTGAGCTATCGAAGGGATACGGAGAATTTTCTTGTGTTTACCATGTGGCTTTTGGAGCCAATAGCGTATACCCTGGCAAACGGCAACTTGATCGTTTGATGCGACGGACAGTTGGCGAGCAGTTACTATCAACAATGACCCTTTTTCTGCAGCGGGTTGTCGCACGGATGACGACGAACCCCGTACTGAGGCCACTATATACTAGCATGGTGCTCATCCAGGAGCCTGCACGTCTTTGTTGCAAAGCCCCCGATGCCTCAGCTGAAATCACTGTACCCGACCATACCGCATGTCCAAGCCACCAACTTTTATGATTTTCTCTTTGGTCTACCGGCTGTGAAGGACCTTTCTGACTTCACGCTCTATATAGATGGACTCACAGGAGAAACACGTCGTTTTCGAGCGTTCGTCGATCGCGTTTCTGAATGCTCTTCGGCTCTCGCTTCGTCAGAGGTCTCCGGTGGGCTCGATATCAAGTTTGGGCGTCAAGAGCTCGTAGGAATATTCAGCGAAAATTGCCTGGTGAGCAGTAACCCCATACCGTGCTCCTTCTACTGAAGCTGGTGTTCGGATATCATAGGAATATCCGACCATTGTATTTGCCCTCCTGAAGCTCGCCGTTCCATTTGCCCTGCTTCCAGCTTACTCCACGACCGCCGAATTCTTATCTTTGTTGCGACTATCCAAAGTGACACGGCTGTTCGTCAGTCCGGCTTTGATTAGGATCGCGCGTGTGGCCGCACGAGAGGCTGGGTTCTCGGAGGACAGGATATATATTCTGCAAGGCGATGTTCAAGGTTTCAAGAATGTGGGTAATCTGATAGAAGGAACACGGTCGACGACGAGAAAAGAACCTGTGCCCCCTTCTATTGGTGATAATGACCTGGCCTATCTATCATTTTCAAGCGGAACAAGTGGCCTTCCTAAAGGTATGGTGACTTCGCCTGATTATCAGTGTACGCACGTATGACTCAGTTGCTATTCTGCAGCGGTGATGATTTCTCACAGAAATCTGATCTCTTCATTCCTGCAGACCATGATCATTGGCAGGGAGTACGCTAAAGTCGCAAAGGCCTGTCATGTTCCAAGTTCTGTTTCACGTTCCTGACGTCCTCGGCAGCCTCGACCTCTTCAAACCCCCGAAGGCACGCGCGTCGTCTTTGGCTTCCTGCCATTCTATCATGTCACAGCGTTCCACTTGTCCATACTTCGAATATTCACTCCGCCAACCACAGTGATCGTTCTTCCGCGATGGAACCTAGACAAAGTTCTAGATTTAATCACGAAGTATTTCTATTCATTGCATATTGTTGCTTCCAGACTCACTCTCGAGCCAGGTATCGGGTAACTCACCTCGGACTGGTGCCGTCGATGGCTCACCAATTAGTTAACTCACCTCGACTGGCGACCACAGATCTGAGCAGTATTATCAGTTTCGGCACCGGTGCAGCACATCTACCCACAGAGGAAAGACAGAAACTCATCAAGTATATGCCAAATGTGGGTCCCTTCGCAGGCGGTTAGTCGGTATTTCATCTCGATACACTATATCGAGGCTTACATTCATCCAATTTCTAGGCTATGGAATGACAGAATGCGTACGATCACCTTGCATTAAATTGTTGAGAGAGAGCTGATGGTTGATTTAGACCGTTTCCGCTATGGTTTCGCCCCTTCCTGGGCTGTTTGACGGCCACTTCTCCCGGGACGCCTTGCTAAGTATGACCGGCATATTAAACCCAAGTGTCGAGGCGCGCATCATTCGAGACGATGGTAGCGACGCCGAATACGACGAGCCCGGGGAATTGTTACTTCGCGGCCCCAACATCGCCTTGGGTTACTGGAGGAACGAGAATGCCACGGCCGAAAGTTTTCTCGCAGATGGTTGGCTGCGGACCGGCGACCGCTTTCGGGTAGAACCTACTGGTGCATTTTAGTGCGCAATCCTCTCCCTTCTATCTGACATGGGAGCTCAAATGAGGGTTACAGCTATGTCGACAGAATCAAGGTAAGTTTCACACCATGTCCCGGCCCGACCTGATTGACCAACCGACTCATTCTGCAGGATACGCTAAAAGTTTCCGGCACCCAAGTATCTCCTTCCGAAATCGAACACGTGCTTCTGCAACACCCAGAGAAACTCATCACCGACGTCAGCGTAGCGGGCGTCCCAGGGACGCGGTTCTCCGACGAAAAGGTGCCCCGCGCTTGGGTCGTCTTATCCACTGCGGGTCAACGCCGAGGTGAAGAAGCGTCTCTCGCGGCACTTGACGATTGGGTGCGCTCGCAGATGGCCAAACACAAGTGGCTACGCGGAGGTATTCAGGCCGTTGACCAGGTTCGATTCTTTTCTCTTTTTTGCTGAAGCGTGGACTGCCGCTCAATGCGACCTGCATTAGATACCGAAATCGCCAACGGGGAAGGTTCTGCGCCGCGTACTGCAGGAAGAGTACCAACGAGAAGCGAGTGCTGTAGGCGAAAAGGCGAAATTGTGATACAGAACTGCCACCAGACGCTCGTATAGTTCATCGGACATCCGTAAAGTACCATAGTTACTCCCAGCGATGTTCCCCGGCGCACCACGAGTCCAAACTGGTGGCCTTCCAACTATACTGCTGGTATGCGCACTGTGCTTCGTCTTCGGCGATCTCTACGACATGATTTTCGCCAGCTTCCGCAGGAACGGGGGCATTGACGAGACTTCTGCCGCTACGCCTGATGTTGTGGTAGTGCAAAAGATGTGTGTGCCATCCTTTGCTCCGTAACGTCAGATATGCAAGTGTCGGCACGGTGCGGAAGAGGCCGTCGGCGACGGCTTGCATATTGGGCTGGGTATCGTGTCCAAGTTCGCGGGGGCCGGGCACTGTGAATGATGCGTATCGCAGCTCCTTCAAAGCTGCAAGGTGACGGCAAGCAGAACGCGTCAACAGAATCTAGAAGTCAAGTTCAGCTTCGTGCCGCTACTTCTTGATTAGAAAGAACGGCATACCGATTCGGTGCACACTTGGGGTGAACGGCCGCTCGCGCGGAAGCCTGCCCAGCTGAAGCCGAGCTCCAAGTATTGGACGCGGGGGATGCATTTTGCGACCATGCGCATCACGGAGGAAGCACGCAGCGGCCATTGATGATGTCCCGACCGGCGACGAGCTTCTTCATCCGGAGATCTGATGCGTATGAGTAGCGACACGCTTGTCACCGGCATGTGGCTCATGAATGCGAGGACGTCCCGTAGCATCTCCTCGGAATTTATCAGTTGTTCGATGTGCACCCGTTGCATAGGAGAGTGGAAAGCGAGCGTCGTCAATACAGAGTGGCCCGAGATAGACTGTAGTTCTGAAAATGAAGGAGAGTGGGGAAGGGGTAGATTTGACATGGTCGAGGGGCTAAACGGCGAGTCAGAATAATCCGACAAGTTCATCTTCAGATGCTGTAAATTAGGAAACACTTGGGACATTGCATGTGGTTTCATCTTGACGTTATGCAGCGACAGTCTCCGAAGGCGTGGATAAACTGTCTTTTGGAGTTCATGGGTTACTTGTAGTTCGTGCAAGACGATGGACCAGATCGACAGTTCCTCTAAAGTCCCGGCAGAGGAAGAGATGACGTCGAAAATATCCCCGCCACCTGTGGTATCTCCCAGGGTCAACTGCAAGCACCGCAAGCCAGAAATGGGCTTGCTGATCAACTGGTTTATATCGGCTCCGTCTATGTTTGTGATATGAAGTTTGTGAAGGCAAGGTCGACTCTGGAGAGCAATAGCAAGCAGGGGTTCTTTGTGAAGATAGCCCTGATATAACGGTTCGATTCTAAACGAAAGCAGGTTAGTGGCCGCAGCGACCACATCTGCAAGTAGACGCAACGCCTCGTCGACGATGGGGCCAAACAAGGTGCAACGGCCGAGCGGGAGCTTGAAGGAAGGCGAGATGCTGAGGTGGTGAATATACGGTCCGAGCCCATGTGTCAACACGAAGCGGCAGATGCCGCGGTTGACGAATTGCGCGGACTTGCCGAGGTTGAGGTCGCGGACGAGCCACGGCGTCGCATACGAGCGTGCAAGCCGGGACACCCTTGACAGAACTGCAAGGTCGGGCTTGTCGAGGAGAGACAGAACGATCATGCAACAATCCTCGTTGATTTGAGGGAACAACATCGTTCGATGTATCATTTTGCTGTGAAGGAGCCATATTAATATGCAAGGGTCAGAAATGGAAAGCAGATCGTTAAATAAGAACGAACTAGTTGAGAGGCGGCCTTACGGTGGTGGATGCTTCAGACGGGATCTAGGGGTGATATCGCTCTACGAGACCGCGGTCGCCTCTGGCTATATGAGGTCGAAACCGACATTGCAGGGCCGTGCAGCTCGTGTCGGGGATCCACACCACGAGACGTCGCGATACTCCGACTACTGCCATTTGGAGTGCGCCTCTCGAAGGCCATCACGGAGAACCGGCGTCAGCGGAAGCGAATTGGGACGGCGGTACTTCCCAGCATCGCAAGTGGCAATCCACCTGCAGATCACGGAAGCCGCAAGAAGCAGACAAACAAACAAAAAAACACGTCGTCCTCCCATACGTACCGCCTAGACTGCATGAGGTTGAGTTCAACTAGAAGACCTAAGCACACCCGCGCGTTAGTAGCAACTGTTACGTAGATGCGCTGCCAAATAATATACAGCATGACATACATGGGCCAGTCACATTCACCAAGCCAAACTCGCCTCCATCTCCGCCTCGTCGACGCCCTCGCCGTCGCTATCGCCCTCCGCACGATACACCGCCCACACGCTGTCGCTCTCCGGCCCGTCGACGACGAGATCCATCACGTCCCGCGCGATCTCTGCGGCGGATGATCCGGGCGGTCGTCAGTGCCAGTGTCCAGTGTTCATCTCGATCTCAATTTCACCACGCACCTGCAAGCTGCTCCAGGGCGCCCCGCCCGCCTGGCCCCGCGTCGACGCGCGCCTGCACCTCCGCGGGCACCTCTGCGAACCCGAACCCCAGCCGGCCGAGCGTGAC